AATGCGGTCGCATAAGTAGACGCCTGCAGGTGCAGAATTCATGCTCCATTGGCTTTTTCCGTCGGCATTGACACTGCTCAAGGTAGGTCTTCAGTCGTCAATAGTCCCGCCAACTGCTTACTCGCACACAAGCTCTTTATGCACCAAGGCCCCAGCCTTGGGCCTTGAGCACTGGGCTGTAAACACCATTGAGGCCTCGGCAGGGAAGAGCTTTCGCTCATGGCATCCAGTATGTACCCTCCATCCAAACGTCTCGCAAGGAACGCAGTATTCCTTGTTCGTGTAGGCCACAGCGCCTGTCCAAGTACTTCCATTCATGCAACCAGGTGAGCCCTAATTCTTATACCGAGTCACACTCCCTATGTGCAACCACACTCCCTGACATATCACGATCAATACACTTGGGCAATTGCCTACACACCCATTCCTTTGTACAGTGACGCCGTTTATGCTGGTGCCACACCGTATGTCTGACAAAGCCACCCCCTGTGACTCGTTCCACTGATGCCCCAAACGTGGCAGTGTTAGGTCGTGCTGCGTCGCGACCGTTGACCAAGCCCGCCCGCGCGAGGCGCAATCGCAGTCGCTTGCCGTCGAGCGACTGAAGGGCCTACCTGCGGAAGCTGATCTACGCATCTGAGCCTCCCTACCCGTAGACCCTTCAAGCCGCCCGGCAACATGCGCAATGCGACCGGATTCACTGCGGACCGGACAGAGTCCGCAGTCCGAGAAGTCCTCCCTTGTGACAAATACTGCCACCGTGGCCAGATAGCAAGCTCCTGGCGGTCATGCCTGTTATTGACTTTTGGAAAGGGCTTGTTCACCTACCGCGTTTCCCGATCGCGAAATCTGATTCCTAGAAGCCAAGCACTCCGTACGATCCCGATATGGCATTGAACCAAGAAGCGAGAGCACATGACGTCGTTCACCGCATGCTGCCTTGCGTCGCCGCAAAGATGTTCATGCTCGATTGCTCCTCTCTAAACCACAGCATCGTCACGGCATCGCGGGATTCACTGTCGGATGGCTCCGCTGGCCGAGCGAATTCCAGCGACGGCACGCTCGTCGATTCATACGAAAGCGACGATTTCAATGCGGCATACCAGCAGTACAGCCAAACAGCGCACATGGGAATTCTTGACCCGGAGTATCAGGTCTTTACGAGATGGGAATTCTTGACCCGGAGTATCAGGTCTTTACGAGTCAGCATGGCTGGGGGACACTTGTGTACAAGGTCAGAAACGGGACTCTGGTCGTGTCTGGAGATCTCCTCGCACCACCAGAGCATTTTCAGCATCTATTAGGGGAGCTCGCCGAGTTTCGCAAGGCAAAGCGTCTCAAACTTGCCTTCATGGGCGTCAGCGACACGTTCGCGGCATACGCGCAGGAGCAGGGCTGGACCACGTTGAGAGTCGGGCGGGAGCGGGTGCTCAACCCGACAACGAATAAAATCCTCTTGAATCAAGGCGCCGGCAAGCGCATGATCGGCCAAAATCGACGATTATTAGATCCAAACCGTGGTAGGATCGATCTTGGGGTATATGCACCGGCCATCAATGGTATCGACAGCTCGATGGAAGCCCAAATACAAGTCATCTACGACCAATGGCGACAAGGCCGGAACTGCAGGAAAGCAAAGGGCCTACAAACATTCGTTACAGTATACGACCTTTTTTCTCGACGAAACATCACCTTTTTTATCTATACCAAGAGTCAGCAGGGTACCATCAACGGTTTCGCTGGTTTACGGAGCGTCGGCGCACATTCTGGGTTCCACCTCGACCCATGCGTCGCGTCATCCACCGCGCCGCGGGGCATCACGGATTTGCTCATCGTGACAGCAATGAAGATGCTGCGCGACGCAGGCGTGTCATATCTCAGCCTCGGCCACGAGCCGTTTCTTGATCTGGGCGACATGCCGAACCAAAACGGTATGAAGGCACGGGTGGCACGCGACATGTTCCACCGGGTGGTCGATTCGGCGCAACTCAGCGGCAAGCGAACTTTCAACGACAAATTTCATCCCGATGAGTCACAGTCGTCCGATTTGTACGTTGTCTTGCCGGGGGGGCCCTCGTTGGTGCGGCAGGCCGCGGCGGTGATGCACGTGGCCAACATCAAGATTCGGCGCCTACTCGTACAGTAAGAGGCGGACCTCTGGCGGGAAGAATGTGTACGATGTCGATATGGACTGTTTTACTACGCAGCAATACGAGTAGTAGACTGGCAGCGAAATATTACATTTATGATAAACGACGCCTCCCATGCCCACCGTGCCATGCCTCAGCGACGCCGCTGTTGCTATGAGGATGTTCTGGACGTCATATGGTGCTCGTGTCTCCACGATGTCATCCTGACCCAACACAGGGATGCGGTCCGTCCACGGCCGTAACGCATGCTCGTGGATGACTTCCATCCGCTCCGTGGACCCTTTAGCCACCATCGCAGCAATGCCTTGCATTGGTGAGAGGCACCGCTTGCTTGCTTTGTTCTTTAGTGCTGCCAGTGGGTGCGTCTGCGGCAGCGTCCGCAAGTTCACGCAGAGCCTCGTCGCAGCCTGCTGATGCCGTTCCCCGACTGCGCGGATGCCGGCCTCGGCCTCGGCCACAGCGATTGAGACGGTCTGGAACGATCCTGTGATGGCCTGCGCACCGATTCGTTGTGCTTTGTTCAACCAGCCAGTTTCTTTCGCTCGACGCGCGTGCATCCAGACATTCGACGCATGGTCCATGGCAGGGGCGACCGTCGCCATGAACAACTGTCTCGCTACCCTCGGTGAGAGCAACTTCAGCCTCCTCAAGTTCATGGCAGCGGTGAGGCCCTTCTGGGCAGCTCTGGCCATATGTATCTGGTAGCGCAATGCAGAGTCCATGATCACCCCCAGAATCTTTGCGCTGCGTTTGGGTTTGACCTCCGTGCCCTTGATCCAGAATGACCCGTCATTTCGCGCAGTGCCGCGCGTGAAGTGGACGATCGTCGTCTTGTCCACCTCAAAGGTCGCGCCACTGCGCTTCTCCCAGTCGATTGCTTCATCAATGATCACCTGAATGCCGGCCCGGTTCGCCTCCGCAGTGCGGCCGGTCACCCAAGCCGAGTAATCGTCAATGAACGCGATGGATCCGCCTGCCGCCTTAATCCTCCGCTGCACCAGGTCTGCGTTGAAGAACAGAAACAGAACCGGCGACAAGGGCGACCCTTGTGGGAGACCAGCTTGTGGTAAGTCGCGCAGTCCGACGCGTGCCCGTTCACGACGACCGTGGCCGTCCTAGCGGTGCAGAAGGCGTCGACCCACCTGACTACCTGGTCTGGTATCCCTCTGGCTTTCATCCGTTCCAGCAATAGTTCCTTGCACACACCATTGTACGCGCCTTTGACGTCAAAGCTGATCAGGCTTAGCACTTTCCGGGCTCTCCATGCCTTGTAAATTTGCTCTTGCAAGAGGAGGAGACCTTGCTCGGCTGACCGTCGCTTTCGCGCGCCGAAATGGTTCGCGGGTAGTAGGCCATAGGTCTCCACCACGTACGATATGCGTTCTGCGACGACTGCTTCCAAGATTTTGCCCAGCGTTGGCAAAAGGGATATGGGTCGCCACGCCTTCGCCTCTGTGTAGTCTCCTTTTTCGGGCTTCTTTAGCGGGATAACCTTTGCTGTCCGCCACTGATCGGGCACGACGCCATCCCGGAGCGACGCCTGGAAGAGCGCCAGAACGCGGTGCTTCACTACGGGCCAGAGCTGTCTCCACACCATCGCCGGGAGGCCATCGGTTCCGGCTGCTTTCCACGGCTTCGCCGCCATGACTTTGACTTCGACCTCTTCCAGAGTCAGAGCCGGCATGGCTACTGCCCTCCGTTGTGGACGCAGCCCTTCCTCTTCAATTCTTCTGTGACTCTGTCGACATTTGCCAGCTTCGTCTATGTGAGACGCAGCCTTCCACTCCTTTCTGTAGCTAGAGATGAAAACATGTGAGACAGGTGCTTAGTGCTGTGCTCGTACTCTTTTTCGCAGGTGGAGATGAATACTCGATCGCACCCGGTGCATCTACAGTATAGTGCTCTGATTTGTGATGCCTCTTCATCCTGTCACGTTGCAGAGCCAACCCGCACCCGAGCTCGCACTCCACCTTCTCACGGTAACGAGCCTGTCTCTTTGTCCAAGTGCTCACTTTTTCACCGTTATGGCCTGTTGTGTTGTGATGTTTCCGCCACGCCTCGCCAACGAAGATAGTTTCGCAGCAACGAACGTGTGCCTTCTTCCGACGACTTCTGTGGCCACTTGCTGTGTAGAGTTGCCCACAAATGCAGAGCACGGGTTCCATGACAGCAAGCTCCGATCTCGTATGCTTGGTCAGGAGCAGGCTCGCAAGTCCTGGACGACGTCACTGGTCGCGCGAGGGGCTTGAGATTACGTGGGCTTGAATGAGCGTTGCGTGGGCGTGGCGCGGAAGGGGGAGCGTTGCGTGGAAGGGAAAGCGTTGCGTGGAAGGGAGGATGTTGCGCGGAAGGGAAAATGTTGCGCGGAAGGGAAAATGTTGCGCGGAAGGGAAAATGTTGCGTGGAAGGGAAAGCGTTGCGTGGAAGGGAAAGCGTTGCGCGGAAGGGAAAATGTTGCGTTGCCTGGGAGATGCGGGTCCAAGCCACTTCGTGCGCCTACAACCTGAGCTTCAACCTGCCGTACCTTCTTTTCTCCAATCGTCCGATAAGGACTCTTTTGGCTCCGTCGCGAACCAGCGAATATTCTGCATGCCACCCGCAACTGAACGATATTCTTGCCACTGGCTGCGCTGATGCCTCCTTGCTGTCATAGGAGATCCAATTCCCATCTATCTCTGCTAGACACAAGCCTTGAGAGTCAAAAAGATGTCGCAAGACGTCTGCCTCGTTTTGTGCAGTACTCTTGGATGTCCACTCGAAAGGCAGACTCCTCTTCCGTAGACCTGTGCCCATGTACGGCGGTGGAGCGTCGTCGTTTGGTACACCCTGCATCGTCTTTCCTGCCGATATGCCTGGGCGTTGTCCATTCTGGGAAGGGGTAACCGACCTGCTCCCACGTAAAGAGGATTTGGACCATAGCACCGTTACTGTTGAGAGGCTGAGGATTCGGAGCGTTGTATGTCGGAAGAGGCCGACTATATAGGCTCGAGAAAATGAAGCGGCACGTGCCCATGATAGACGTTGTGGCGCAGGGGCCAAACGACCAACATCGCCCCTGAACTACTGTAGCTTTTGTTCGTGCTGCCAAAGTGTCAGATGACGCCTGATGGCGTGTTCGATCTCGGCAGCGACATTGTTCGACATCCTTTGACGGGCAGTGCCACACCCAACGTCATCGATGGCCTTGGTCCGCTGAGCACGCAGCCAATACTGCGAAGGAAAGGTACTTCCCGCACGCCTCCTTCCCCGCCGCCGTCCTGGTGTTCCTTGTGAACCGCTACCATAGAGCATACACAGACAAGCGCCTCATGTCCGGCATGGCAACGACGGGCTGCTTATACAGGCAGAAGTTGAGGACCTATTTCACGTTGTGAGGCTCAGCTCCAGTCCCGACAGTTGTTCAAATCTTGGACACCAGCCGCTGCTGCGACGGTGAATATTGCGTGTAG